CCTTTGCTGGGGAAAAATGCAATTTGTGGGAATGGTTATCACCTTAGTTTCTAAAAAATTCTAGAATGTAATTTCCCCTTTAAAGGCTACAGACAAAGTATAATTGTGCCAGGTTTCAACTTTACAGGCTACAAAGTATAATTGTGCTAAGTTTCACCTCCATACTTTACCAAGAAGGCACCTATCTTTGTAATATCCCTCTCCTCTATAATTAAGATGAACTTATTCTTAGGGCTACTTTATCAAGCCATCAGTATTGATCTTAATATTTAGAGATATTTTGAACAGACAAGTATACAACCAGCGCCACAAATTACAGAAATACCTGCTAATTAAAAGCCTTCATCTTGTAGCATGATACAGCAATTACAGTATTGGACTAGGATCTGAGAGACCTAGCCTTGAATCCCCACTCTGCCATGGAAACCTGCTGGGTAACCTTGGGCCAGTCATTCTCTTTCAGCCTAACCTACTTTACAGGATTATTATGGTGAGGATAAGATGGAGGATGGGAGAACAGGGTTGTAAGCTGGTTAGGGCCTCCATTGAGAAGAAAAGCAGGATATAGGTAACTTAATAAATAAATAAATAACAATGCCAGTCTTACGAGGACCTGTGCCACTGCACAACTTTATTGTTATTATTTTTATTATTAATAATTGTTCAAATGTGTCTGACACTTCAAAGTGTACAAGAAAACAGGCCCTGACTTAAGGAGTTTATTCTAAAATTTGACATAAGGGGGATAACACAGGGAAAAATAAACACAAGCCTTGTGGCACTGTAAAGACGAACAGTCTTTATTCTAGCATAAGCATTCATGAATTCAGGCCACTTGTATCAGAGGAGGAGAGGGAGGTAGAGACAGAGATAACAGAGGAAGAATATGCATTCATTCCAGCCACACATGCTTAGTTTCAGTAGGAAAGAAGAGCTAATATAAATGATATTACTCCTATTGCATCACTAACATAAATAACATTGCTATTGCCCTGACCTGGATAGCCCAGGCAAGCCTGATCTTGTCAGGTCTCAGAAGCTAAGCAGGGCCAACCCTGGCAAGTACTTGGAAGGGAGATCTCCAAGGAATACCAGGGTTGGGGACGTAGAGGCAGGCAATAGTAAGCCACCTCTGTGAAATGTCCATACCCCACTAGGGGTTGCAAGAAGTCAACCATGACTTCCAGGCATACACACACACAGAGTACTCACTAAAATAAATAAATAACACTGCTATTGAGAATCAAATGTATACCACCCTCAGGAGTTCCACTAACTCCTGTAATTTGTATTTCAATCCAAGAAATGTTCCCTACTCCCAGCAAAGGAACAATAAACTAACTTGCCAACATTTCTCAGACGAAGCCATTGGAAATTTTTGACGCAGCTACCAAGGCACACAAAATTCACATACTCTCTTAGTTCTGTCCCCAAATAGAGATGTAAATGGGAAAAAAACCAGGAAAAAACCAGGGGGGGTCCATTTTTTTCCACCAAGGCCCTTTTTTCCATTGGAAAATTTGGAGATTTGGGGGATTACTGAAAAAAAAACTATGAAATATTTTCTCTTTTAGAATGAGTTAAAGGCTTTCAAAGACAGAATGGGCATGCTGTAGACATATACAGCTCTTAAATCTAAAATGCATTTCTACACCTAGAAGGATACCTAATCTTATGAGGGGAGTATGCAGGGCTTTCATTGTTTTTCAGCTACTGCATACCTTCTGTTGTCCTTCTGACCACACGTGGTTGATCTTTTCACCTCTCCTTCAAATCATTGGGACACATATAGCTACATATTGGATAATAAGTAGCTTATTGCCCTATCTTGCTGGAGAGCAAACAAACAAAACCCCGAAGTACATATGATAAGATAGCCCTAGGGTGCATCAGCTTGCAGGTCTCTCTCAAGTACTGGGTATAATTGTAATTCTGCTTATAGAAAATTAAAGCGTTTATAATTTTTTAAGTTCATAAATATGTCAAATGTTGCAATTTTATATGCTCAATAAGTTACAAATTATGCATTTTATGTTATTAAAGCAGTAAAATTAGTTTAGGTTTTATAGGACAATAAGTACTGCAATTTCCCCAAATTTCTGAGTTCCCCCCTCCAAAAAAAAACAAGGACAAAACATTGTGGGTTTCCTCCCCATGGCTTCAAAATTTCCAGAAATTTTATATCTCTAGTTATTCAATGCTCACCTCTTTCTAATTTGCCTGGGTTAAGAATCAGCCCTTTTCAGTTCTTTGGAATGGGCTTTCTGATAATGAGTCAGGCCCCTTTTCCCTATGAGTCTTCTAGAAGTCATGCATTCCAAAGGTCATTCTCTTGGAAAATTTCATATTTCTCTATTTTTGCAGAAGCATCAATGTATTTTGTCTAAACTATTAGTATTACAATAAATTTTAATCAATTTAATTGGTTATTAGCATTTTTTTTAAATTTGAAATGAGCCACCTTGCCCCATATGGAAAAGCAGGACTCAGATATTTTTAAATATTCATAGGAAGAAAAAAGGGAGTAAAGAGGTGGGATGCTATACGGGCAGAAAGATGGGCAACAAGGGAGCAGAAGGCCCACTGGAGCTTTGTATCATTGTAGCCCCCCGCAACCTACTCATTTTCCATACAAGTAAAATAATATTTCCTCCATTTGACTTGCACACACAAATCATTTTGCTTTACAGCTGCCAACCTGCAGTTGATTGTAGGTAAAGGCTTCCCTTGCTCGAAAGCCAGTTGAATCCGACTCTAGGGGGCGGTGCTTATCGTTTCCAAGCCAAAGAGCCAGCGCTGTCTGAAGACGTTTCTGTGGTCATGTGGCCAGCATGACTAAACGCCGAGGTGCACGGAACACTGTTACCTTCCCACCGAAGTGGTACCTATTTATCTACTTGCAATTTCTTGCTTTCAAACTGCTAGGTTGGCAGGAACTGGGGCCAGAGAGCTGAATTGTACACAACCCCAAAACAATCTTACCTGGCCTGTCAGGCCTTACCAAATATGAATTCAGGTATAACATTTTGCAACTAAGATAACATAATTTTCAAAAGTTGCTAAAGATACAGATATGTAATATGTTCTTGTGGATTTGCCTTTTTAAATAAAATAACTTGAACAAAGCCATATCCACATAGGTATTACTGGCCATCTGTAAAACCCCACTTTCAGGACCCAGATCATAGTCTGCAAAATATCCAGGGGTCTTGTTGTAGAAAAAGAGCTGCCGGAGCTCATTAGCATAACTCATTAGCTTAACTTATTTGCATGTGCCACGCCCCCTGACATCACCGGAAGTGACAGAAGGCCACACCCCCTGACATTACCGGAAGTGTGTCAGAAGGCCCGGCTACTTACCCTCCTGCTTCATCCTCATTCCCAAATGGAATGAGGATCGAAGCAGAGGGCGGGGTAAAGAAGGGGGCGGGGCTTCACCACGTGACCGCCCCGCCCCCTAGAGGTTCTCTTCCGGAGCTCCGTACCTGAGAGCTCCCCCCCGACTAGAGCCCTGAAAATATCATCACCCCCTGCCTCACTCCCTTCTGAAGTTGCCCATCCATACTGTACGCCAAAGCCTATAAGAAACTTCCAGCCTCTCACATCTGTACAACCAGAATAACGGCAAGATAATTACAGACAGAGGCAATTGCAAACCTCAGTGTCGTTCCTTCCATTTTTCAGTGCAATTTTAAAGAGACTTGCTCAGACATAAGGCTCACTGAGTTCAATGGGACTTGTTCTTAAGTAACTGAGAGTAGGAATTTTGGAGGAGTTCTGTAAAATGTTTTATTAGGATAAGCAAAAATATCCCATGCGTAAGTTTTCAAGAATGCTTAATTATGCTAATTTTTAAAGGGGAAGAGGAAAGAAAAAACATTTTCCATCATGATGAGAATTTGGCTAGTAGTCGTAAATAGGGGTTTTATGCCCCAAGGGGGGGGGGGCTAGAGATCTCTCAGAATTACAACTAACTTCCTTGCTACACAGATCAGTTCTCCTGGAGAAAGTGGCTCCTTTGGAGGGTGAACTTTATGGTATTGTATCCTTCTATGGCCCCTCCACAAACCCCACCTTTCCCAGACTCCACCCCCAAATCTCCAGGAAATTCCCAACGAGTTGGCGACCTATGGTATTATATGGAGGATGAACTCTATGATATTGTATCCTTCTATGGCCCCTCCTCAAACCCCACCTTTCCCAGGCTCCACCCCCAAATCTCTAGGAAATTCCCAACGAGTCGGCGACCTACGGTATTACATTATGGATTATTCTACTAAACAACTTACATCTATTACAGATAGGACTGCAGTCTTATAGGATTGGTGGAAACTGTCGCTCCCGTTCTTACCCTTTTTATAAGAACTCCTAAAATTCAGATTCCCCTGTATGGAAAAGGACCTCCGAACAGATAGCTCTTAACTAGAATTTCATCTATGAGGGACTTTTCCCCGTCCGTTATTCAGATCCAGGCAAAATCTCCCTCTCTTTATTCCCAAATGAGTGGGGGACAAAAGACGGACAGGGGATGCTTGAGAGAAAAAAATAAGAGCCCCTGTCTAAAGAGGACGCCCTAACAACAAGCGACAGAGCAGCCACAAGCTGTGCACACACCTCAGTCTCAGCTGCCTCGCCAGCCGCCCCGTAAGCGCAACAATTAAGCCACACCAAGATGGCGGCCACCCGAACTCTGAGAGAAGGAACGTTGACGTTTGTGAAACCCGCCCAAGACTACAGCTCCCAAATGCACTGGAACGACCCACTTTCCCAGAATGCAGTACGCTGCGAGTAACCTCTCCGCGGACTACATTTCCCATCCGTCCACGGAAGGTGTCTACTCTTGACTGGGAGGGGAGTGTGAGGAGGAATTGGTAAATAGTGGCGGTATGCGAGCTACTTGAATAAGATGGCGGCGGTAGTAGCGGTAT